ACACGCAACCACACACAAATATATATATTAACACTCTAGCAGGAAAAAAAAAACATATTAACACTCTATCATGATAAAAAGAGTTGCATTTGTATGAAATAACAAATGCATAAGCTATAAAATATTATATAAGTTGCACAAAATTAAAATAAAATAAAAACAACAACTAATCAAGTCATCAAACTAACATAAAATATGAAATAAAACTAACATAAAACATCAAAGATATACGATAAGTTTAGCAAAGTAGACTTCCTTCACTCTTATTATTCAACTAGCATAATAACTCCATAGATTTAAACAAGAACATGATAATAACTCCATAGATTTAAACAAGAACATGATAAATAATCGAAAGCCAAAGCAGCAGACAACAATGTCGACAACAGGATCAACTGGTTGTTGCGGTGATAGTAAAATTATCAGAAGAATGTGGTCGTAACAAGAGCTGATGACAAACATAGAACAAGAAATGTAGGTAATATAAAATATCAAACATATAAAATAAGTTCAGAAAAGTAGACTTCTCTTACTCCTATTATTCAACGAACATAATAGTTGCATGGATTTAAATAAAAACACAATAAATAATCAAAAGCCAAAGCAGCAAGCGACAAAGGAAACAGGATGAGCTGGCGATGATGACGATAGTAAAAGCATCCAACGATAGTGGTGCAACAAGTAGCTTTACCGGCATAAGCAGAAGATTATTGTAATGGAAGGATCAAACAGCCACAATGATAGTGCCGCAGCAGACGACAAATCTGGGAAGCTTGAATAAAGGAAAGGGAGCTCTTACGCATGACATTGTGACTTCAAATCGTATTTTGAATCATTTAATACAAGTAAAGAAAACTAAGCACGAGAGGCACACGTCTCAATGGAATTGAGGTGAGGAACGCCTCAACCAATAAGAGGCAAAAGTCTCACTCGAGATACTCAAAACGACTTCAAAACTATATGATGTAAATTTAGAATAGTGTTTGGTTCAATTTAAGGTTGAATCTACTAAATTTGTTAGTTGTATTTGATATAAATTCACTTGTGTAACTTCTTCTAAGCTAAATCCATTACATCTACATAATAATCAAATTTACGTTAAAAAAGTAATGAAAGAGAAGAACAGTTGGACTTAGAGAAGTGTGGATTTAATTTCTTTTTTTTGGTTGGATTTACGTTAAAACTCAGGAATATTCTGCTAAAATCCGGCTACCAAACGCGACGTATAATTGAAACAAGCACGATAAATAAGTTTAGAAAAAGTTCAAGTAAATATTAAATACTTGTGAAACACAGTACAAAACTCAGCCCAAGTAACTTCTGACTGATTGTGTCGAAACAAACTAGCCCTGGATGGTGAACAAATCAAAACACTATTTTAAATTAATAAGGAAACTTATGCCCATTAACATTAAAAATAAACATACGAGTAAATTCGATTTAGACTCCTAAAGTTTTGGGCATCATAACAATTGGTTATGACCCATTTTAAACCATAAAAGCCGTCGTAATTGATCATTTCATTTTAACTATACAGTCCCTTGAATTTGATAAAATTCACTAGCATATGACCAACGGACAAAAAATGGCATACTCATTACATTCTTATACCACTATCAACTACCAAACGCGACGTATAATTGAAACAAGCGTAATAAATAAGTTTAGAAAAAGTTCAGGTAAATATTAAATACTTGTGAAACACAGTACAAAACTAAGCCCTAGTAACTTCTGACTGATTGTGTCGAAACAAACTAGCCCTGGATGGTGAACAAATCAAAACACTATTTTAAATTAATAAGGAAACTTATACCCATTAACATTAAAAATAAACATACGAGTAAATTCGATTTAGACTCCTAAAGTTTTGGGCATCATAACAATTGGTTTTGACCCATTTTAAACCATAGAAACCGTTGTAATTGATCATTTCTTTTAACTATACAGTCCCTTGAATTTGATAAAATTCACTAGCATATAACCAACAGACAAAAAATGGGATACTCATTACATTCTTATACCACTATCAACTACCAAACGCGACGTATAATTGAAACAAGCGCGATAAATAAGTTTAGAAAAAGTTCAGGTAAATATTAAATACTTGTGAAACATAGTACAAAACTCAGCCCCAGTAACTTCTGACTGATTGTGTCCAAACAAACAAGCCCTGGATGGTGAACAAATCAAAACACGATTTTAAATTAATAAGGAAACTTATACCCATTAACATTAAAAATAAACATACAAGTAAATTCAATTTAGACTCCTAAAGTTCTGGGAAGTTCTGGGCAGTTCTGGGCATCATAACAATTGGTTTTGACCCATTTTAAACCATAGAAACCGTCGTAATTGATCATTTCATTTTAACTATACAGTCCCTTGAATTTGATAAAATTCACTAGCATATGACCAACGGACAAAAAATGGCATACTCATTACATTCTTATACCACTATCAACTACAAACCGCGACGTATAATTGAAACAAGCGCGATAAATAAGTTTAGAAAAAGTTCAGGTAAATATTAAATACTTGTGAAACATAGTACAAAACTCAGCCCCAGTAACTTCTGACTGATTGTGTCCAAACAAACAAGCCCTGGATGGTGAACAAATCAAAACACGATTTTAAATTAATAAGGAAACTTATACCCATTAACATTAAAAATAAACATACAAGTAAATTCAATTTAGACTCCTAAAGTTCTGGGAAGTTCTGGGCAGTTCTGGGCATCATAACAATTGGTTTTGACCCATTTTAAACCATAGAAACCGTCGTAATTGATCATTTCATTTTAACTAACCGTCCCTTGAATTTGATAAAATTCACTAGCATATGACCAACGGACAAAAAATGGCATACTCATTACATTCTTATACCACTATCAACTATCAAGCACAGCCATTGATAGAAACCACCAATCAATTGTTTGTTTCCTAATGCACCTAGAAGGATAGGCAAAGGGGTGGCAATATTGGTAGAAAATTTAAGCTTGCCCATATTATAAGTTAGGTTAAACTCAAGTTATTTTCAATCGTGTCAAAACTAAAATTCCTAGCTTAAAACAAATCTTGATGCAAAGCTGAGCATAACCAAATTGCTTGGTTTTTTATTCAATAAAAGCATATAGTATAAATTTACACAAAAAATTGCATAACATTTTTTCAATAATCTAAAATAATATTGTGCATAAAAATTAAATATAATTATATCTCTACTTGCTAATTATTTCAGGAAAACAAGGATTTGAAGTGATTGAAATTATATCACGCAAACTATGTTCTAATGTAAAAATGAATCCGAGTTTGCTAAGAATAAATCCGTTTCAAGTCAGAGAAGCTAAGGGTTGGAATATTAGTTGATATCCAACGGTTGCTTGAAACTTAATTCAAGTTGTTTCAAGAAAAATTCAAATTGTTTGCACGAACAAAATTTCATGCCAACTTCACGCCAAAGCAACTCGTTTGAGATTTGATTAAGAACATCACAACATAAAAAATTATTAAAATAATTACATATGAAATTATTTTTCAATTTTAATTAAGAAAAAATATTATATAAAATCAATTTTAAATTCATTCGCCATGTTTATAGATGTAAACGAGTCGAGCTCGAGCTCGAGCCACCCTCGGCTTGAGCTTGAAATAGATTAATTTTCAAGCGACTCACAAGGCAGCTTGTTTGTTATAAAAGAGAAAATAATATTAATTTAAGATAATATTATAATAAAATAAAAAATAGAATGAGCAACCAAAAGAGAAATAATAAGAAATCACTTAATATAAAATACAAATATTATTTTTAAATATTTTTAATGCTTTAAAAATAAAATCTTCAAATTTAATAGATTTTGAGTATATTTCATATTAATAATTTTTTAAACGAGCTGGCTCACGATATAAAAAGTCATCTACGCTAGCTTGAACTTGGCTTGTTAACTCATCGAGCTCATTTCACAGGCCACTTATCGAGCCCAGATCAAGCCGGATCACGAGTCGGCTTGACTCACACCACTAGTCGTGTTACATGCTTAAATTTGTGTTAAAGTGGAAATAATCACATTAAAGTGATATTAATTTTGAGACAGCTAAAAAAATGTGTACAGGTTGTCTCATAATGAATTAATTAAAACTAGTCAAACAAACTTGGAAGTTAAATAAAGGCCAAGTTAATTTTACGTTATTTCAATCACGAATGTTTTGAGATCAACTCCTAAATTGCTCAAACTCGGCAATTTAGGAAGTGAAATTATTTGCTCAAACAAAATTTTTGATCAATTTCAAGCTAGAGAAGTTCATTTATGATTTGATCCTTACTCTAAACACTTAAACTTATATAAATAATTATATATAAATTCTTTATTTATTATGATTTAAAATTAATTATCACATAAAAATTCCCATTTTATGTAACTTGTTTTGTTACACGCTTGGATTCAATTTAGTTCGAAACCCGATGTTGCAAGTAAGGTGCTAATAATTTTGTGTCAAATAAAAAAAATTAATTTATGCCAAATCAAAATCAATTTATTTAAAATGAGCCAAATAAAATCGAAATATAATTTATTGTCAAGTCAATTTTAAGTTATCTTAAACCTGAATATTTCTAGTTCAAGTCTAACTTGCTCAACACAATTAAATGCCACCCCTAATATAGGTGCTAGGCTAGCAAAGGAAACACGAGGGCTGAAGGGTGGAGTCACCAATCAATGAGTAGAAATGGTATAAGAACCTAATTGTGATGACAATTGAGTCATTTAATCATAGACTAGCAATTAGGTAGTGAGGTCACTACTAAAAAGAAATTATAATCAGGTTAATGGGACCTGATGGTGAATAAAAACCAAAGAACGCCAAGCCCAAAACCAAAGAACGCCAAGCCCAAACACGTGGGAATGAGACATTATTATCTTAAAGCAATCAAACTGTAAATGCAATAGAAGATAACTCCTAGGGACAAGTGCATAGGAGAAACCATCTGCAAAGAAGGAAATTCACCTGTGCTGGGAACTTCCCTCCAAAGGCTCCCGCGACTAAATTAAGGCCCCCCTTCGAAGTGGAACGGTAGACACCGTACATCAGCTTGACATCAAAATCATACAGGAAAAGCCTTGCTCCTGGCTTGATCCTGTCCACCATCTCCAGTTTGCCCTTAGGAAGGCCAAATACCCTATGCTTATAGCATTCAGGCTTCGTTATAGAATTGCACATGAAGATGAAACCAGAACTCTTCTCCGTGTGCTCTTTTCCCTTATTCGCAACGCTGGCAGGCTCCTTCCCCTTCTTCTTATTCCCAGCACTAGCTTCGCCCTTGGTCTTATTAACCGCCGCCCCAGCATTAGCATCTGGAGCAGGGTTAGACGAAAGGGGCACTAACGCATTAACTGAACCCGAGGCAGCTGCCCCGACTTCCTCAATCTGCTCACCAACGCTGTTCTTCTTCTTCTCGGATTCTTTTGACGGCGCCTGAGTCGCACTTCCAGATCCCCTCCTCAACCTTCTCGGCTTCCCCATAATAACTGCCGGAAAAAGTCGGGAAATCAAAACGAAAAGGATCCGAAAACCATCAGATTCAAATTAAGGAGCCAGAAATGCTCCCCTCCAGCAAATCGACAGCCCCAACAGAAATATCTTTGTCCCAATGGAATAAAACCTAGCCTAAATGAACAATAGATTTCCTTACCAAACTAAAAAAGATCCTTAATGAAGAAAAAAAAAATCACTCGTGCTCGCGAAGATAAGAGCTCTAAATGCATGAAAAGAGAGTCTGCAAAACCTAATTACGAAAAAGTTCTAATCCAAGAAGATCCAATTGATAAAGATAGTACCTGAGAGTGTGAAAACCCTTGATGAACAAACTGAACTTGACGCGGCGGATTCGATGTAGGGCAGAATGGAAGACGGAGAGTTCGCCTTAAATAGCTTGAGCTACAAAAGATGAACGGCTAGGATTTAACCGCTACATCCATTATTCCTTTTCCAAGACTCCATGAAATTAATTATTTAAGAGAAATAATGTACTCAAATATCAAACATATTTGTTAAAAATAAAATAAAAAATCTTAAAATATCAATTTGGAATATTCAAATAGCTCAAAAAAATAACATGAATAATTAAAAAATAAACTTAAATAACGATATTTTTTAATGTTAAATTAAATATAAAATATAATAATGATTTTTTTGGGCACTGACCATCCAAAATATAAATCAATCATCTTTCATAAATTTTTCAAGTTGATAAGACACCAACAAGTTTTCATTATCTTACACAAATCTGAAGGCATTGACACGAATCTCTAGATAATCTTTTGAAAAAAAATAAACATTTAAACTTTAATTAAGAGTCATCCAAAATTATGATTTCAATAAACTAATGGTCAAACTGATTCGCTCGATAAGACAGATTTAATGATATAAAAACTAGTGTATACGAGTCAAATCAAGTCATTAAATCATTCTTATAAGATTTTCAGACACATTTAAAATATCAAACGAATGTCGAAGCTAGCAAGTTCATAATCGAATTGAGTGTCTTAACAAGACGAATCTAACGAGCCCGAGATTGCTCAATTCTAACATCGTTAAGTCACTCAAATGTACATCAAACACAATCTGATTGACGGAAGTTCTCCAGAATGTCAAATAAAAATGATTAATATACATGCATTAATTGCACCTGGAATACTATAAGATTTAACCTTGAGAGAGAACTTGAGGCTTTGATATGGAGCTGGAGTCTGACATCATCGCCGATCATCGTTGACTACTGCCTGTTGCCGTCAACCACTGTCGATGCCGTCGGCGGCGTCGGCCATCACCGACCACTGCCGAACTGTCGTGGACCCTCGCCGTCAACTACAGCCGACCATCATCAACCACCGCTGAACCGTCGTCGCCCTCGTCGTCGATCACCCCCGAATCGTCGTCACCCTCGCTGTCGACCACCGTCGAGTTGTCGTCAACCACCGTCGAACTGTAGTCAACCCTCCTCGTCGACCACCACTAGAGTTGTAAACGAACCGAACACGAACGAACAAAGCTTGTGTTCGTGTTTGGTTCGTTTGAAATTTAGTTTGTTTGAAATAAGCTCTTGTTCAAAATTATTCGTGAAGTCACTGTTCGTGTTCGTTTCTTAACGAACGAGCCGAACACAAGTAATTCGCGAAAGACGAGCCAATTTAACATCTCTAATATTAATATATATAAATAATATATTATATTGATTATGTAACTTATATTATATTAATATATAATATCCATAGTAGTAGATTACTAATATAGTATATTAATATATTATTATTATTAATTTATTATATATTATAATTTATAAAATTTAATTTTTCAAAATATCATAAATTTTTTTATATATAATTATTTTATATTTCGAACAATAACAATTCGAACACGAACGAACGCATCACTGTTCGTGTTTGATTCGTTTAACTAACAGAACGAAAAAAAATTTATTCACGTTCTTTTCGTTTACTTATCGAACAAATCGAACATAAACTCATTGACAAACCAAACACGAACTGTTCGCGAACAACGAGCTTTTTTGACAGCCCTAACCACCGCAGATCGATGTTGGCCGTCGTCAACCGCTGCCGACACTCATTGACAACCACCGATCGTCGTCGAACTCCATTAATTAGACGTCGTCCGTCTATATTATAACTTAAAAATCTAGTAAAACTTTCCCGACTATAAGACAAAGATTTTCTGTAATCATCAATCTATAGTGAATTTTTACAATTGGGTCAGAATCTATAATTTTTTTCCCTTTACGGGTTTTTCACGTAAAAACTTATGGTGTCAATACTGATTGTTTTTCTTTCATCTAAATGTGTGTTAAATTCTCGTGCAACGCTAAGAAGATAATAATCCATTACTCTGCCACCAAAAATTTTCTAGCACGCATCACAAACGCTCACACAAATATCAAAATTTATGGTAAAACCAATTCATATTCTTCATTTTTAACAAATTCTCATTAGTTTGGTCATGACACACGTAAGTACATTGGTTCGGTAGTTAAAAAAAATCACTTGTGTGATAAATTTGAGGCATTTATTTTCTTAGAGGGGTGTTTGTATAAGTATTGTGAGCATCGGAAATGATTGACATAGAGGTCTTGAGGTCATGTAGCGTTACGAGTTCTAATGAGATTGTGAATTATTGTCCCGTAACAAATTTGTATGAGATCTTAGACGCAGTGTATTTCGGTCAACTCAATTTGAACAAATTAAGAGGAACAAAAGATGTCTTATAGCATGTAATTCAAATTTCTCAATAAATTATTTTATATTTCCAAAACACTTAAAATTTACTGTATTTTTTTTTTTTATGAATGAATTGAAATTTGGTTTATTTTATTACAAATATTTTAAAAATGTTGTTTTACAGAGAAAATTAAATGCAGTGCATTACTCAAATACATATGGTTGATAAAAATGATAAAATTGCCTCAAACTCTCTAATAGACAAAGAAATCTTACGTATATACACGGTATAATTTTCGAAGACATGCACGGATAGAGATGTAAAAGAAGCATTTTTTTACATGGAAAAATTATAGAAAATGAAAAAAAATCCAGTGACAAATTGAAATAGGTACAAAAGTTTAATATTCTCTTGTATTAGGAAAAATGAGATTACAAAAACTGACAATGATAATAATAGTTTGGCTACAAATGTCATAATTGGATTGTGAAAATATGGTTGGTTGTTATAATTATTGTAATTGGTTGTAGCAATTACTGTACAGCCAAAGACTGATGTTGGTCAACGATAACATTTGGAGATCAGGGGACAAACTTTGGTGGTATGCGGCGAAATTTAGTGACCGACGATAATCGTTGAAATATTAAGAACATGTTTTAGTAGTTTGCTCACTCCTATTGTTCTCTAACTCCTCTTTTCGACTAAAGAATGAGGGAATATTTATAATTTTTAATAGGCCCATTCAGTAAATTTGGCCAATCTCCCAAAATATTCCATCAGACGGTTCACATTGATTCCCATGATCACATGTAACTTTTCAACATTTAAGCACATCAATGACATTAAAATTAAATGATCTTGGACTCGTTGAATTTCTCTCAGGGAGGCATTAATTTTGGCAAATTTTGAAACTATTTGACGTTTCAATTAGTGCAATAAAACCATTGCCATACTATAAGTGTTTGCGTAGGATTATTTGAACTCAAATTTGATCAATTTTTGGGTCATTGGGTTCATCCCGTCGAGACGGTCAATTTAACTATAAACTTGTTAAAATAAGGGCAATGATGATCTAGAAGTTGAATTTAAATTATTTCTTGCTGAAGATACTTCGAGATTCATGCCTCATGATAATAAGTTATTGATGATACATCAAAACTATTTTAAATTAACTAAGGAAAAAATTCACTATATATTTGTAGGCAATTACTCCATTACAATTAAAAAGAGACTTATAGATAACATCAAGAAAGCTTTTTAAATTTAAGAGAAAAAAAGAGACACCTAATATAAGGAAAATTAAAACTTGTATCATAAAATTTTAAATTTGTAAGACTAAATGTACCCATGTTATGGATGGACAACTAGAACTCAGTTTGAGTAATACCCTATAAAGTTGCTCAAATTAATTAATTATATATATATATATATAATATAAATTTAATATCAATAATTTAATTCAATCATTTCTTATTGCTTTATCTCGATTACATGTATATTAGTACTTATTTATACTTTTTAGTGGAATAAAACCTAGTTGCAATTTTTATATTACCTTATTTAGATACACATTAAAAATTTAATCAATCGCTTGATTGTTTTAACTTGAAAAATAAATTATTAAGAAGCATTTATTCAAAATTTTAACTTGTTTATTAACTAATTGAAATACACATTTAATAGATATGTTGCCAGTAGTAATTGGATCGATAAATTTTCTCTTTATATCGTTACTCATTTAGCTATCGATGCTTCTAATCATGCTCTTGTTCTTTTAAAAATAAGGAACAGTTCTTATATTAATAATTATTAATTCCGTTTTTATAATATGTGGATTCATCATGTTAGTTTCAAACAGTTTCTGAAAGATGATTGGAAGGTGGATGTGTTTGGCTCTACGGTTCATAAGCTTTGGTCTTTGCATAAAAATCTTGCCAAAGCTCTTAAGAAATGGAATTGGGAAGTTTTTGGGCACCTTCAAAGAAATAAAGAGACTCTGAAAGAAAAGGTTAAAGGTTTGGAAACTGATTATGCTATTGATTGAAATGTTTTATTTCAGGGACAAAAACAGTTGACAGAAGCTACTAATATGGAGGACAGTTTTTACGCTAAAAAAGCTGTTAAGTATAATTTCTTGAATGACGACAAAATTACTGTCTTTTTCCATGCTTGTATTAAGAGCCATCATAATGTTAATCTGATTTCTAGAATTGTTAGTGCTGATGGTACTCTTCTTCATAATTTGGCTGAAATTGCTAATAATGGAGTTCAATATTTTTCTAATGCTTTCAATAGCAATGGTGGTACTCTTGATCCTATTGACTGTAATCTTTATAATGATGGAATTAGGATTAATAATTCCTTGTTTACTTGTATTCCTAGCTTTTCAGCAATTAAAGAGATTATCGACCATATTGAGACTGGCAAAGCGGCTAGTCCTGATGGTTTCACTGTTGAGTTCTAAAAATACAGTTGGGACATTATTCATAAGGAAATTGTGAATACTATTTAAGACTTTTTTCGAGGTAAATATTTTAAATCCTCTAATATTGTGTTGATTCCTAAGCTGCGTGATGCCACAACTTGGGATGTTTTTCGACCTATTAGTTTGTATAAAGTTCTGTCCAAGATTATATAAAAAATTATGGTCAAAAGACTTCA